GCTTTATTTACAACACTGTTTATTTTTTCTATTGTATTCTTGTTTGCCTCCGGCTTTAACATATCGTTTTCCTGTTCCACATCACCTCCAAATGTTCGGTAAAGGTCCAATAAGCTTCCTTTTAAGAACCCAAATGACTTAGAAAACAAGTTCCTACGTCCTTATGATCCAGTTTCATTGAAACATTTGTTTATAGCCTCTGTGTTCTTATGACTGGTTCTCAAAAATTGTACGATTACCTCAGTCCATTGTTATGTACTCGGTGGGAGGATAAAGGGTTCACATCCACCATTTTATTGCTCGTCTTTATCTCAATTGAACAGCAAATAAACGTAAAGACAGTGTGTGGGCAGATTTAGAACAACTGGCTAATGTCTAGAGGGCGAAATGGGAGGTTTATCGCACTCCCAATTATACGTCTGTTGAAATGCTTGATCCCGGAAGAATGTGCGTAGGTGAATTATTTTGCTGTTCACTTAACGACCTAACTGCAGTACGTTAATAAACGTGCGTCTTAATTACACTTGCGGTAGATAAATAGGATATTTGATATTGTACACTAATGGCGTTGCTGTTTAGTTGATACCTCGTCACGGTTGTGCGTCTTCAGCTAACGGGGTGCTGTATTTATCTACAAGAATATTGACCCAGACACGGATGACTAGCTCTCTCTTTGGTTACGGTGTAAATTGTAAATATGTATTGCCATTTAAATTATTATCAACAATAAGAATCTAAACTGAGAATTTTAGTTCAATTGTTGAAGTAAATACATTTATCATGGAGCCCACGTTATAGTTTCCATCTGACAATCGTCACGGAATCCTCAGAAATCCCTTCTCATGATTGGTTTATCACAAGAGCCGGCATTTGTATCGATAACCCTGTCTTCCTCGAAGGGCGACCCTCGATAACTGGCGATAACAATGTAAATAGATAGCGACATTTGGTGAATGAAACCCAACAACATAGCCAGAGGATGTCAATTCATAAATATGTATATTTGTGTACCGTTTTGTATCTACTTTTCGGATTTTTTTACGATTTTTGTTGATAACTTTATGGGGATTTATTTTGGGTTGAGGTGAGAGGGCGCTCGTGTCAGTGTGCTGGCATTGAAATATTTGTTCGCATATAAAAAGTTGCCTTTGAAGGTTTCGGGGTTGCAAAACAAAAAATCATAATTTTAACGACATTCTTATTTAACTTCAAAGAAGACATTTTTCAAATCGGACAGTTTAGCTTAAGTGGCTCCATTCTAAGAAAGTAATAAATATGTATCTAGTTGCTTTCATGTATTTGAAATTGATTTCGTATTCGGCTCTTCCTTTGACTCACGATTGAGGCAAATCAGTTTGAATCCGTCATCTGCCCCGTGTAGTAGCCACATCAGTATTCTCACCACATTTTTTTCATCTACCCACAACATTGGCCCTTCGGTTTCTATAACAGCATCGTCATCCGCGTTTTTTCAACCTTCTCGTCATTACACAGTCCTGTCGTTTCATCCCAAAATGAATTAAAAAGTCATCATAGTACTCCAGTTTTTATTTATACGCCTCGTAGTCATTACCGGCTGATAGATTTTTTTCTAAACGTACAAAATACTCAGTCGTTTTGTTTCATAAGATTGTTTCGTTGCGTGATAATAATTATGGATGATTAGCCTCAAATGGGCGGTCGTTGTGGGCAATGATAAATACATTAACTCCTGATTAATACTGTTTTAAAATATCCGTTGGTAGCTCATTAGAAGGAAGTGATTCAAAAAGTAATATGGCGCTACTATTTCGGTGTTCATGGAATTGTGACTCACTTTACAAATATTTAGCCACCGCAGATATACCTAATATCAGATATACCTAGAGTTATATTGTACCTAATATCATTACATATTCTTTAACGATTTCTTGGGCTGTTCTAATTGAAACTTGCTGCAACCGGAATGTTCTAGAACCAATCTAATATAAGACACGCCTATCTCACTTAGGTTCGGATCCTTGCATATTTCTTTCGCATTGTTCAATCAATCATGTAGGTCGCTGCGTTGGGCCTAATTGATTGCACTGGACCTACTTGACTTCTAACCTTCTGAGAGGTCTCAATCGACAGGGAACTCTTAGACTTGATTATTTATTAACATATATATGAACACAATCACGTGAATATCACTCCACATGGACACTCAGTGTTAACAAAATGATCTTGTAAAGTTAAATAAACCATTATCATTGTGTTCGGCACCACTTGATTCGTGATCCACTACCGAGATAACGTAGACTTTGGAACCCAATAAAAACTATAGTATCTTTATCAAAATAATACAGCTGTATTGTATGAATGAGTCATATTATGAACCAGCCGAAAATCCAAGTTATTCACGGACTGTGACGTCACACTTTTGTGGGAATTGGACGGTAAGCTGAGCCATCGACGCGTGTTTACTAAAATATTAGTGCATGTTAGTCACCTGATGAAAGCCCTGGTCATACACTATCTCATGCATACATAACACCTTGGTGTTACTTACTTAAACATTGGACACTTTTGGTTAAGATGTTTTTATACGATTTGAAGTTCAATGTACGAAAAGACCTAGAACTTTTGCCTTATTGGTCATATCCCATTCCTCTATAACGATCCTCAATAACTTTATAACAACACAGACCGATGCACTTGTTTTCAAAATAACCCCATAGGTACAGGTACTAGTTTTGTTCACAATAATTATTTTTTTACAATCATAAAACCGCACGCATTTCCACCGCCGAAGATTACTCTTGCGGCCTGACATTTACTTTTAGAATTCATTTTTTCCAATTATAGTTAATATTTTACGGGATATTGTGACCTTAACCCGTGCAACGCCTTGTTATTACGCCGCTATGGAGTTTATTATGACATTTACAAACGTGAAAGTAGTAAATGATACGTCGTTTTTGTGTTTTTATCGTCAAAATATTGATTAAAGGATATCGATTCGAGATTTTGTGTTTACACTTTATAGCTTTCGGGCCATTGAAGTAGTGTACAATGTTTATTTGATGTAGATTAGTTTTTTCATGTTATGGAAGCAAAAACTGGGTTGTCGGTTTTTTATTAAAACAAGAAAACTTAAATTAAGTAGCTATCCTTGTGTTTAGACATTGTGTGGGTTTCTTCACCAGTTCTAGTGTCAAAACAGGTACAACATAGCCTACATTACATTCCTATAGAGCCTCCTATCGTGTGATATATGGCTATGTGAGTATGCGTGCGCGCAAGGTCGGCGCGGCATCTGCTGTACCGGCCCGACCGGACGCCGGCTGTGTTCCAATTCTGCGACGTTTACATGACGGTGTACCCATGACAATTTTACTATAGTAGTTAAAACAATCATGTTTCATTAAATGCTTCTGTATCAAATTAAACCACATATGCAATACTGGTTCAATAGGCTAGGAAGTGTCAATGATATCTATTAATCACCAGGGCCCATATTCGTGTCAAATACTTGGCACTCGATACACATTTCACGAAGAGACATCCATTGTGATAATTCTTTCCTAACTGAACATTTGTTGCCAAGGCAATAGCCACTTATTGCGGCTCTGGCCATCGATCAAAGTTATCGTCCTGTTTGTACAAATATCTCCGAGCAGTCCGCCTGAGACTAATGAGCCATCCTACCAATACATACACAAATGTTGCCTAGATTTTTTGCCACCTCATCCTAGAATTCCATGCGAATCGTTCCTCGCGTACGATTTATGTCACGGAATGACAGATAAGAAGTCGATGCTGTGCAGTATATCTGAAAGACGTTACGTGCCCGTGCCTTGTATGAAGCCAATAAATTCCGCGTCATATAAGACGCAGCTTAGCGCGCGCGCGGCGACGCTGCGTGCGAACCGGGTCACCGAGGGCTCTGACTCAGTCCCCAGTCTCTACCTTGCATTGCAGGGGTGATTGCTCTCCCAGTCCCACTATGCAACTGACACTTTTTTTGCACAAACTATGCAAAAATACACTCACCATGCAGGTGCGCTAAATCAACATTCATTGTACAAATTACAGGAACCAACGTCCAAAGTAAAAGAGAAATCCTAGAAATTGGTCCCATTCAGACAATAATATATCATACATTTGCCATCTCTGGGTGTCGCTTTTGAATGCAGCTGCATTATTCCAGAGATATGAAAACAAAATCTCGTCCTCACAGTCGGATGGATGCATTGATCGCTGAACAAGTTCGAACACGCTTTTGTGAATGTAGAAAGGCGCGATTTTCTCCGGTGCATATCGCTAAAGCGTAGCATTTATGTTTGAGCCCATAAATCAGAAGTTTACCTTTTCACGCTACCGCCGCAGGTGTCCACGCAGTATCATCGCGTCGAGACTGCATTGTGAGCGCGGCGCGATTGTTCCATTTCATTAGCGGCCCATCCACTAACGTTCATTTCTTCCGACTTGTCCCGTTGTGCAAACTGTACAGAAAAGCCCCGGGATAAAATAAAACCGTTGAAGCCACTAATTAAACCACAATCCTACGTTCTTTCCCCTAACATTATCACAACACGCCAGTTCGACAGGAAAAACAATCCTTCAGTGACCATACACACGTTTAGGTACATTCCTGTCAGTTTGCATCTTGTTAGTCATACCGAGGGATTGCGTGTCTGTGGATGGTTATAATCCTATCATTTTATGAAGATTGTTGTCATTTAAAAGGAATACTCGTCATTTTGAAATATCTTTATGGATTATTTTCATTTTGCAACAACGTGTGTACCCGTAAGCAAGAAATTGCTATTGCTTTGAGTTTTATTGCGAGTGAATATCTATTTAAACCCAAAAGAAGACATAGAATGTGGGTAAAAAATGGTTATTAGAAAAAGAGAAATATAGTGATATAAGACTTTTAAAAGATCTGGGATGCGATGAACCTGATGATTTTAAGAACTATTTGAGAATGGATATCTCGACATTTAACAGTTCGTTAAATGTCGAGATAGCTCAAGATGATAACACCGTATTTGCAAAAACAAAACACCAGAATGAGAAATTGCATTACAGCCGAAGAGCGCCTTACAGTAACATTGCGATTTTTAGCTACGGGTAGAAGTTATGAGTGTCTAAAATTTAGCTATGGTATATCTCCGCAAAGCTTGGGTCGTATCATCCTTCCGGGACTAAGACGACCACAAAATGATTACAAACGTGCGCTCAATCACGCCGGACAAATAAACAGGCACTAACTTGATCACAAAGCGCGTCGCGTCCTCCGCGACGGGAAGGGAGGCGGTGTTATAATGCCGTCATTCTTTCTTGCTCTTGCAAATCCACTGGCGTTCATTCCGTAAGGATTGTAGATTCCGGCAAGAATGAACGTTAGTGGATGGGCCGCTATTCACCTGCGATTTGTCCGGCCCTTATTAGCCTGTCTATCGCGACGTCCTCGCGTCCTGTAGACGTCGCCGCATCATCTCAAACGGTGGCAATGTTCGACATTACAATTTGGTATCTGTCATTTTTGTGTTAAGACCGAGTCTCGCGTGTCATGCTGGTAGCGTTAGACCGGATGGGAAGCCGAGATGCTGTAATTTGGCCGCACAATACCGCGCAATAATAATCGCAGCCGTTCGTAATTGCGACGACATCCGTTGTACGAGATGTACATACATGTGCACTCCGTGTGAAAGTTCGAAAGGGCCACTCGTTACCGGACCGAGTTATGTTATCAGAACCAGTTTTACGCATTTTAGATATATCGGCTTTCTTTACCGCTCGTCCCGCTCGACACTCGAGATAACTCGTGCGCCGACAATTTTATTGCTTTTAAATTGACAAGAACTTTTTGTATGTTCATGTTCGTTTACTTAATAAGGGATTAGGCGTCGTTTCACACCTAATACGAGTCGTTGATAAAAAAACAATGTGTCACGATGACAATGGAGGTCCTACCACAACATACGGTTGATTTGCTCCGACCGGAGCGATTAATGCTTTTGTCGGTTTTTAGGAGCGGAAGTCCCATTGTCGAGCCTGTCGTGTGGTCACTAACGTTTTTGATTTGTGTGCATGTTTTGACAATCGGTGTTAGATAAATGCTTTTCTCGCCATTGATTTACTGCTATGTCCGGTGCGAGCAATGAGCTATCCACCAACGGTATGACGTGAAAGGACGAGCTCCGAAGGCTGTTTGCGCAAACTCAGGTAGAAATGTGGAAGTATTTTTTATTACAAAAAATCAATTGTGAACGAAGCTCAATTCGATAAGATCTGTTTCCGACTGTCTACACTCTTCAAAAGATAAACGTAACATGGGGTTTAATTTTGTAATGTTATCGATAAAAAATATTTTACTTTCCTTGTGTTGTGGGCGTGGGACCAAAGGATCGATTAAAAAAACCGGATATCCTCTAGTGCTTAGTATTAATGTATACGTATAATGTTATGGAAATAATACCCTTTATCCTTTTAATTCAATGGGATTAAAAGATACTGTATAATTTGTATAATCTAGCTTTTTGTGTAGTGCACCCTTCCTTACGGTTCTCAATTTTTATGTGATTGAATTATAAAGAATAAAAAATGTTCTTGTACATTTTTGAGAACGTCTTTTGAAACAGGTATCGGAAGGCGGAAAGACTCCTTTTACATTTATGGAGTTTTAACCTCTTTCCACGGGTGCAATGCATTTAAGATGAAACAAGTTTACGTTTCGAGTTTCGTAACTTTTTAAAATAAAACTGGATCATACCATGACAGTGTCTTTAATTAAAACCGACGATGAAACCAATGGAAAATTACTATAATTCGCAGCAATGATTTAAAATGGATCGATGATTCGCTTACTGCTAAATATTGTACATAAAAAAGTAATAAACCGTCATAAACGTATAAAAACTATTAAGTAAGTAAGTATACATCTATCTATGTCTGATGGTCTTAGATGAAAGATTCAATCACGAAGCGAGACGCTTCTTAGAAGCCCGGTTTGTTTTTTCGCTAAAGTTCAATAGGTTTTGGGGTTCCTTTTGTAGTGATGTGAATCGCTATGTGTAATGGTAGCATGGGAAAGCAATATGTTCCATTTTTCATATTAAAAGGACGCTCCAAATATAGTTATGGCCTCTTCTAATGGATTACTATTTTCTATGCGGTGGTAATACTCGTGTATTATGACTTAAACGTCTCTAATAAAGTCATTAGATTTAATTAACCACTTGCAGTAATTTATAAGCGCTACCAACATAATCTTTATTAGTATTCCACTGATGCAGTTTCCTCTTCCTAATTAGCGTCCCTTGCATTTTAATTTGAAACAAAGTTCCAATTAAATTGTGAGCATCCCAATAATTCTTTGGAACGACTACATAAACGTCGCTGAATATTCATAGCGTTGGTAATTACGGAACCCGTGGCATTCTCCGCTTCTGTCTTAGCACATTTTTTCTTTGCCACCAATCACTCGGGAGTCGTGAGCTGAGTTTTTTCAAGACCCGTTAGTGACCTGCACCCTACCATCTTCCATCACCAATCACCGATGACATGAATAGTTCACAATACACCTATCCTTTAAAAGGAAGCATCTTCAAATTAACACATACTGACTCAGTATTGGACGTTGAACTTAGCAATACCGTCATATCATAGCTCTTATATTCTTCGAACACTTTTGTGAATGTATAAAGTGCTAAGTGATTTTTTTTTGTGTTTGAAGAGATTTATTTTGTTTTTTTCTGGACCACCTCGCAGATGACATTTTGATGATTAAGGGTTGCGCAGACGAGCATGTGTTGTGAATGTAAAATTGTTTGGACGAAAAATTGGGGTAAGTTTCGTGAGAATGGTGTTATATCGACAAAAAGTTTAAGTTTTTTCGTGCGTATTTTGTGGTATAGAAAGTGATTAGTCTCATATTGAAGGTTGCTTAATTAGTTTTGATTTTTAGATGGCAACAGTGGCTTAAAAAAGTGTTTAGTTAAAGTAAGATTCCATTGGTTTTTTTAAAAGGGGAAACATCATTGAATTGTTTCTTCCGCCCGGGTGAAGCGGGAGGGAGTATCAGACTCTTACTCTCTTACCGACAAAAAACAACCTCGTTCCTACTCCTGCTCTTCGAGCCGGAGTCCCGGTAACCCGTCCTCCACGGCTTCATTCAAACACGTTTCGCTGTTCCTTCAGAAGTTATTTTTTAAAGTAATAACTATGATGTTATTTCATGTACAAGTTTTAATTAAATTGTTACGATGCTCAGTAAAATTAAGAGGTTTGAGTGAAGTCGTCAGTTTTGATTGAATAAGAGAAAATGTCATTACGAATATGGACCAATGAAATCAATGTCACCGTAAACCTAAAGAATGGACCCTTAAACATGGATTTTATTCTTGAATTGTTGTTTAACTTTCAATTTCATATTTCTTTTATGAATTTGTGAGACGTGTATCTTATTTCTTAAGGCGTTCAATTTACTTTATCATAACTATCTCAGATAACTTTTTTTTTATTTTTTTTTTACTTTGTAAAGGATTTTTTATTTAATAATATATTATGTATTTAAGGTATGTTGTAACTACTTGATGCTGTAAGTAGATTAAAGTTTTTTTTTTTAAGTTATTTAATTACAAGAATGTTTTTTTTTATATAAATTTAGTTTTTTCTTGGTTTTGCACGGCATCAGGCGTAAGTAAGTAAATAGTTCACACGCATCTTTGCATTGAAATTAAATATTTGACATTAAAGAATATTAAATGGTCTAAGGATTGTTTAGAATTACGTTTAGGAGTTCCCTTAAGAGAATTAACCTTGGTCGTTTTGTGTTTTACGTAAGTGTAAGTGAAGTAAAAACTAACTTAAAGGAAACAGGGTTTGTGATAAGATGACGTTTGATATGGGAAAATAAGATTAAAAAGAGGACATCGCATCGACCCCAAGGGATAAGGGCAGCGAAGTAAAGAACTTAATGAATGACCTTTATAGCTAAATTATTATCAAGAATGAAAATGTCAAAATTATTTATTTCGATTAGACCAGGAAGGCACTTTTGAACGTCAACAAAAAATTTAAAAGTAAAGTTATTTGGCCATTCCATGTAGATTCCTATGAAGAAGAACGAGCAAGACCATTACGAGCAACCATACGTTACAAAATTGATACTCAATTTGTTTCAACAACACAAACCTATTATTTGTAAATGAAAAAATAACTCCACAGTGTGTGAACGACAAATGGAAACTAACAATAATTGTATCAAAATTAAGGGCCGGTCCTTTACGCCCTTAATATAAACATGGTCACCAGAATTAACTTATTATACTATACAAAAAAATAATAACAATCAAACACACTTGAGCATTATTCAGGTCATGACAGCGTGACATGTACTGAAACAACCAATATAACCTGACCTCTCCCAATATTAACATCTCATCCAACAAAAGCTCAAATTATACTGGATTTCCAACTACCTACATAATAAAAGTATTGCAAAATTCAATCTTATGGTTATGGAAATAAAGGTCATAGGTGTTGGGTTGGGTAAGTAGGTATTATGTGTTGTGGTCCTTGTTAGTGATGGATAAGGGGATACTGTACTTAATTGAGTCGGTGCCGTGACGTGGTTTGATGGACGCGATTGTCGTGTAATGGAACTGTTCTTTTATGTGGAGAGATTGTTTTGCTGGTTTGTGTCCCTACTTAGTTGTTTTCGGTGCAGTCTGGTTCATAGATTTAGGGTCGATTTTCCAATGCCAGTTAAGTTTTATCGGTGGAATAACTTTAGATATTTGACAATGCTTCCATACTAAAAACTGTCAAATGTTAATTTTACTCTACGGTTCTCTCTCTTCTCTTAAGAGTTACCTGTTGATTAAAAATCGGCCCTTAGAATTATAATTGGGAACTATGATAATATGTATGATCATTACCATAATCTTCTGGTTTCTTGATATTCCTTTTGGTTCTGTCAACTTCCTTACTTGATCTCTCGTCAAAAATGTTTTCTCAATGAAATCGCTGGTCTCAACTTCTTCTCGTAATGTCACCATTGACATTTTAGTTACATTCTATTATTTAATTATTCTGCCTCGTTGGCCGAGTCGATTCCCTGGTCAGGCAAAATATTAAAATCAGTAGTAGCACGGAGTCTGGAATTGATCGAGCCCGGTATATGACAATAGGCTCACCCCCTATTACATGGGACACATAATATAAGTAGTGAAAAGTGGTTGTTATATTGTACAGTGGCATAATG